TAATTTTTATATATTGTTTGATGATTTATTGTATATTGTTTGTTACTATGTTTGTCAGTTGAGCAATCATTTTTATTGACATTGAACAATTAAAATAGTCGATTTTCACTTTTTTCAATTTTGTTTCGTATTTTTATGTTTCAGTGTGAATGTTCACATTAGTATGAGTTTAATTTTTTTTTTATTTATTGCTAGTTGTATGTTAATTGTAAGCTGTGAACATTTACATTGTATTTTGGTATGAATTTCATGTTTTTTTGAAGGTTAATTGTATGTTTGTTGTTTTTGTTACTATGCTTGTTAGTTGAACAATTATTTTTGTTACCATTGAAAAATCGAAATAGTTGATTTTCACTTTTTTTAATTTTGTTTTATATTTTCACGTTGCAATGTGAATGTTCACATTGGTATGAGTTTAATTTAATTGTATGTTAATTGTAAACTGTGAAATTTATATTGTATTTTGTATGAATTTTATTTTTTTGAAGGGTAATTGTATGTTTGTTTTTTATTATGAACATTCACATTTTACTTTAGTATGTGTTTTGTTTTTTTGAAGATTAGTTGTATATTTATTAGTCACTATGAACATTGGCATTGTATTTTGATTTTCGTTTAGATTTTTTGTTGCGTTATTTTTAAATTTTCACATTATAAAAAATATGGAAGTAGGATATTTATTAGCTTCCATAATTTTAAAAGAGTAAGATTTTAAATAGGATATTTAAGCTTCCCTGATTTTTCTTTAATATATATAGATTCTAATTCAAATTAGGTAAATATTTAAACTGGAGTGATTTCTCCTAAAAATATAGATTTAGTTTCCATTTTTTGTGTTAATGTCACGCCCCAAGCTCCGTGACAACGCCGCACACTCATTTAAGTGAGCATGCAAGGCTAAGAGTCCAACACATAACCAAACATGTAAAATACTCAAATTAAATCCTTAAATATCATAATGCTAAAAACCATACAAATAGATAATTCTTATCATATGAAATTGTCCGCCAAGTCCACTAAATTAATCCACTAACAAAACAATAATCCAAGTACTTAAATTATGGTCCTACTCTCGGCACTCCCACATGTAAAAAAAATCCCGAGCAGCTCTACTCTTTAGAATCTGAAAAAAAATAAGAGCAAGCTAGATAGCCAGTAAATAACCAACCATCACTGCTAGCTGGATCAAGTATACAAAAATAAATAAATAAATCGATAACCAATAAATATAATTTTGTTAACAGTTCAATAAATGAACAATTATTTGTAAGGTGGTTTCATAGCTAAAAATAAACAATGTACAATACATTTTAAATGAAAAGCCAACAAGATAATTCAAAGTAATTCGTTGTTCAAATCGATGGTTCGATATTCAGATGGTTCAATGATTTGATTCACAAAACCAAAGTCTTAAATACTACGGTCACTTAGCCCGTGACAAGGCCCAGAACCACACATAGGCCGGTGGTAAAGCCCAAAAGAACTAATTTCTGTGCCAATAAATAACCCCCATCGGCTAGGGTCCAAATCATAGTCAGACTAGAGTGATGTTCAAAATTCAAACAATACACAACTTTTAAATAAAATATTCGATATTTTCGGAATAAACATTTGGTCAATATTTTCATAATAGTTTTACAAAATATCAAATAACTTTCATAATAATATTCGATGTTGTTTATACTTGACCCATATTTTATTTTAAGAGAACATGAAAGCTATAAATAAATATTTATAATTTTAAACGATTCAGTAGGAATAAAAATGAACCAACAGTGATAGAGGGTTACTTACCTTCAAACAGCTAAAATAATATTTTCCAAGCTAATCTCAATTTACCAAGATCCACCTCAATCTCACAAACCTAATAAAATATTACACGCATAAACAATTATTATGTGCATCCATCCATCTCTTCTTGTAACAACAATAGAATAAATTAACCCAATAGTCTATTAGGAACTCCCACAATTTAGCAAAAACAAAGCCATTACGGTTTCGGAAATTCTCAACCCATATTATTCTCTTGTTGTTTATATACATGTAAAATTTGTAATTGCTTGTAGTCATCGTGTATCCCACAAATACACCACCATTAAACTTAACCTATCACATATCAATCTCAAAATATGAACACCCAAATGGGATGCAAAATACACTCTAAAATTGAGCAAAATTGAGGCCCCCAACATAGACTACATCAATATATCTATTTAATCATATATGCCCATAAAATCATCTATCGATATTAACACTAAAATCATAGATAGGAATACAATAAAATAAATCTTACCTAAGTGATGAATAAAGCAAAACCACCACTCTTATGAATCCTCCCTCTTCCTTGGTTTGGGTTTCTTTTCTTTAATTTTAAACTTTTCCATACCCTTGCTTGTTGCCTTCACCTTCAACTCTTCCAAACCCTTTCTGTAGCACAAGCCTCTCTTCTCTTTTTCTTTTCTTTTTTCTTTTACCTTCTCAAACCCAGCCGCCTATGGCGCAATTCATAGCCTCTGTTTTGTTTGTTTTCCAAGACTTAAAGCCACAATAGGTGGACTTATTAACCTAATTTCGCAAAGTTACAAAATTACCCATCTAAGTAATAGGAAATATAATGCCAACTCATAACTAATT